GGATCCGCTCGAGGGCGGTGGTTTGAGATTTTGCATCACCCTCATTCTTTTGCTACTTATTACTTGGCATTCTACTGTAAGGAAGAACGTCTCCTTCTCCCCCTTGTAATTGTTGATTCATTAAAATCAGTAGAGTCTCAAGGATTTTTCTTTTATCCACTGAGTTTTTGGGGGGGATGATAAAAATATTATAAAGCCAGAGTTGCACGACGGTTGCCCAATGGTGAGGATACTGAAAAGTACTGCATGTTACACTTGAAATAGGTGGATTCTAATGGCATGCAAATTTCCCCTCAGGAAAGCCATTAAAAAAATCAGCAGCACCCATTTTGGGGTGATGGGCAGGAAAACCTTCTCAGTCAATGACTCCCTTTCCCCAGGTGCAGCCTTCTATCGCCTCTCCCAGAGCCCGGGGATTGATTGCTGGATTGCTATTCTCCTGATACTCCTTTGAGCAAATGAGCTCAAGCCATCGAGTGGATGAGACTCCTACTGGGTTTCTGAGGCCATAACTTTATCGGGGTAGAAAGCCTCATCTTTTTACTGCACAGCGTCTGGGAGTTTCAAACTGCTAGCCTCATGGCCAGCAGTCTACCTAGTAACTACTTGGCCACTAGGGCGCCTCTGAGCAAATGAATGAATATTGCAACACACCCTAGAGCCAGTTTGTTCGTGGAACCCAAATTCCAGGTCATCTAAGGACTGTTCTTTCAGTCATGAAATAGTTTGTCTTTTTCCCCACCCTCCCTTGGTTGACATCAGTGCTCCCCCATGTCCTCCTCTCGGGAGGCCTGTGAATCATCGGAGGCCTGTGAATCATCGCATTGCAGAGACTCTTGTAGAAGGCCCGGGAGATTCATGCTCCCTGCTTTGGGGAAGGGCTGAAATGCCAAAGGAGGCTGCTTCGGCTGTGTCCTGGCTACCGTGGTGCCCAGCAGCAGTGTGGAGCCTTAGACAAGGCTGTGAGTGAAGACACGTTTCCCCAGCTGGCTGGCGGAGATTTTGCTGTATTAATTGCCAGCTTGCCGACGCAGAATATTAAAACCATTCCCCAAACTCAACTTCCCATCTCTTCCACCAGACTGCTGCCTGAACTATGAGACTACACACCGAGTGAAGCAGATATGGTCACATGTAGAGCTTACTGCATTAGTTGCCGGCTTGATTTTGTCAGTATACTTTATGTGGCTTGGTTTATCTAAAAAGCAAGGTGCTAGTTGACCATCCAGTAGTGTCATGCGTAGAAAATGCCATGTGTCCAACCAAGATCACCACAATTGTACACAGCTGAACTCTCAAGACAGTGCTGGCTCTGCATGGTCAGATCCCAGATCTGAAGGGGCCTAGAAGCTTACACGGCTGAGTTACTTATTTATTTTCTTTCCAACAATAAAATGTGCCACTCAAAATCAGTAACTAAAGAAGTGGAGGACCTAGACACTGGGACAGTTAAATTTGCGTCTCCTTTTTGTTTTGGCAGCACCCTTACATCTACCGGGTTACCTTTGCCACCGCCAGTGAATCCTCAGTGTCCCTAATTAGGATGTTTAACGAAAAAGGAACTTTGAAGGACCTGATCTACAAGGTACTTGTGGTACAAGTTCATGGTCGTAATGAAGTTCTCCAATCCTTTTAGAACCTGTTACTGATGTTTGATCATTAAGGTTCCAGAAACTAGCCCCCAAGGACCCTGGAATCTATTTTGCTCTTAGCAATAAAGACGACCTTTTTGCTTAAAGAGCCTTCTTTTTCCTCACCTTGAGGGAAAGCTGAACACCTGACAGCCACGTCCGTTACATTGTAAGCTGCTCTGTGAGGTCAGCTTTAGGTTTGTTTGTTTGTTTGTTTGTTTTCCTGATTTTATTTTATTTATTTATTTTTAATCGTTTTATTAGGGGCTCATACAACTGTCATCACAATCCATACATACATCAATTGTGTAAGGCACATTTGTACATTCATTTCCCTCATCATTCTCAAAACA